GTGCCACACGCATAACTTACGAGCATGTCGAGGTAAACTGTAGAGCTGATCCACAGGCGCTGAAGTGTTTGGTTGTGCAGTGAGTTCTTCCCACTTTCTCGTTCTGTTGGAGAGTGACTGTCCATGCACAGAAAACCATCGCACCTCAACGAAACGAGTTGAGAGCACTCTGACAGCATCGGTGAAGACAGGGCTGTATTAAACCAGCGTAAAATGTTTTTGAGTATGTATGATCTGAACAACCGTTGAGGCTTATCTACATACACTCAAGTGTGAATGTTCTGTTGTACCAACATGTGCTTCCTCTACAGCCAACAGCGTTTCATCTGAGAACACGCAAGCGGTTGGTCAGGCAGAGGAAAGCAGGCTACACTGACATGGAAAGAACCCAATTTGTATATAGATGCACGCCAAATAAGACGTAGAAAGAAAATATTCTATACATAGATGCACGTCAAATAACATATTAGAAAGAAACCAATCTATACATGCATGCACGCCAAATAACAGTAGAAAAAAAACAATCTGAAAATAAATGCATGTCACATAACACATCGTAAATAGATGCACGCCAATTAACACATAGAAAGAACCCAATCTATAAATAGATGCACGCCAAATAACACATTACAATGAAACCCATCTATCCTCGTACAACTGTACACAAACACCAAACACCTCGAATCGAACAACACTTAGTCCATGTATACGCCATCAATCAGACACGGTACACGGTACCGTCGCACATACCCGTCACCCAAAGCACTCGCAAGCTGGTGCTGTTGATAGGCGAATGCAAGGTCTGTTTGGGCAGAAGAAGTGTGCGCAAGTTTCTACAGCCATCCAGTAATCGCTGTACATCGGCCTGGGCGTTTTCCGATTTCAGAGCCGTGGCCTCGATATGGTGCAGAGTGTCCGATTTTAAGGTCTCGGGTACGGCACCTAGACTCAGTTTTAGGACCGCCAACCTCGCAACGGCCGGCTCGGTGATACCTGCAGTGCATTGGTATCGTATAGTCTTTAAATAGCCTAGCCAATGGTTTGCAGTGATCCAACTGTGGTGGTAAAACACCATCTCCAGTCAAGTGGCTTGAGGATACCATTGCGAACACGGTACAACAAGTCACCCGGCAGTCCCAAAGCACTGGTGCAAGTGCATGTCGACTTGCCCCGACTGGAATTTTCAGGTTCGGAACGCACCAGAGCTGCAAGCGGCTTCAACCCACCCCCACACTGCAAGTGTGTGAGTGTGAGTGAGTCACGAGCCAACGATGCGTGCTAGCATCAGGCCAGAGCGTCCCGCTTACCTACTAAGCCATACACTTACACGTACACAAACACTGGCACGTAACTTGGGTGCACAGAGCCGCACCCATGGGGTGCAGTTGATACCAATGTGCAAAAGTGTGTGTGCGTACTTCGTTTATACGTTTATAGACATCTGCACTGTGCATGCCGAGATTCCGTAACGTGGTTGGGACGAAAGTTCGGTCCCAATCCAAACTGCAGTTGAACCGCATATACAGCCCCTAAACGCACCAGCCCATATTCCTTGCTCAGAGGTACTACCGCACGTTCTCGGCCGTGGCAAACAGAATGTGTCATACGCGGAAAAAAAAGACTAAAACACAACAAAACAGAACTGTCTCCACAAAACAAACGAACAAATACTATCTACGAGTGCGCCAATCTCTTCTCTGTGTAGTATAGCCTGATCTGGCCTGTGTATGCCCATTTATATATAACCATCTCACACACTGAAGCATGCGTATGCCTTCTGCCTGAATAGAACAGGAGGTGCAATTTCCAACACAGTGGACAACATAGACCACATATCACACTGTCTCATATTAAAAGGTATGTATACCTTATACCTGTATCGAAACACACTGAACGCGTTATGTACCTTATACCTGTATAGAACATCAGCCACATATCACACTCACACTCACTTAACGATCTATATACCTTATACCATAGACCACTCACGCACACCCAACAATCTATATACCTTATACCACAGCACACTCACACACACTCAACGATCTATATACCTTACCATAGCACACTCACACACACTCGACGATTTATATACCTTCTACCATAGCACACTCACACACACTCGACGATCTATATACCTTATACCATAGCACACTCACACACACTCGACGATCTATATACCTTATACCATAACACACTCACACACACCCAACGATCTATATACCATATACCTGTATAGAACATCAGCAACATATCACACTCACTCACACCCAACGGTCTATATACCTTACACCATAGCGCACTCACACGCCCAACGATCAATATACCTTATACCTGTATAGAACATCAGCCACATACCACACTCACACTCACCCAACGATCTATATAGCTTATACCATAGCACACTCACACACACCCAACGATCTATATACCTTATACCAGAACACACTCACACACACCCAACGATCTATATACCTTATACCTGTATAGAATGGTAGGTGTATCTCCAGCAGAGTCGGCGATATGCGCAATAGCTCATCAACAAACTTGGCCTCAGCCGCCGACTGCGGAAGACATCGCAGGCGCTTGAGATGGGGCATTGTTTGCAGCACACGCGTCACATCGCTGGGAGTCGGTTTGAGATTCTCTGTGTAGTAATGCAACGTAGGCGCAGAAAAGTGTGAATGTGTGTGTGTGTGTGTGGACATATGTGATTGTGTGCGATGCGTGAGCACACGTGATCGTTATATGAAAGAAAATATGAAGCCAAGTGTATAGATTCCAACTAATCTTCAGTTTGGTAGAATTGACAGAGTATTTATCTCTTTACATCACCGGAGGTAGGAGTCTGTGTATATATGAATGCAACACGTAGATTAAACTGATATATGCACCTCTTTTGACGCATGACATATACACATAAGCACACAATCAGTTTCAAGTAGAAAACCCTGGATGAAGACGTATTAGCACCGATGCAATCGCAAATAAAGCTACATAAGTACACTATCGTCAGTATATATATATATATATATATATATCACAAATTCCAGCAAATGGTATGAACGCAAAAGGACATAAAGTACGGATATTAATCATGTATTTTAATGTTCATCTTCCGGTTTAGATCTCTATAATTTTTAAGCTTGAGATATGCGCAATTGAAGAACCATATTAACGGTAACATAAGTGTCACTATAAAGTTTAATTTTGCGATTGGTAACTCAAGAAAATAAAGAATTGACATGGAAACACACCAGGTATGTACCATGCTTCCAAGAAGCGGAACTCTCTCTTAATAAAGTCAATCGTTTCACTGAGCGTAGTTTCGCCCAGAATAGACCCTCTTGTATACAATATCCTGGGCAACTGGGTGTATAGCGACTTATCGCTACGAAGAAAATGCAAAAGGTGTCCTCCAAATGAGAGACGTTGAAGCAAACAGACAGTTTTATATCTCATCGCAGAACACACAAGCTATCAGACAGAATAGGAGACGACTGGAAACGGTATCGAAAACTGTATGAGCACGAAGATATACACATGTATCTAACTAAGGTATATACAAACAATCATATATATACATATGCACATATATATATATATATATATATATGTGTGTGTGTGTGTGTGTGTGTGTGTGTGTGTGTGTGTGTGTGTGTGTGTGTGTGTTGTGTGTGTGTGTG